GCCCGAAGAGCCGGGGGGGGTGAAGCAGGCCCCCGCCGAGGGCCCTGTCGCCGCCCGTTTTCTGAGAAAAACGAGCACACACCGGACGCAACCGGCGGCGCCCGCCCTTCCGAGGAAGGGACAGTGACGCCCCTGCGACCCCGGCGCTGCCCGACGGATACTGCCCTGTTCTCGCTTGGGTTTGCCCGCCGCCGCAACCCGGGCGGATTTGGCTCCCCGCTGCCCTGAGGGCACACCAGCCCGTGCCCTCTGCTGAGGGGAGCTATGCAAGGGGGACGGAACGGGCGACCGGAACGTGAAGGCACTGACAGGCGTTCACAGAGAGGTAGAGGGCTTGGACAAAGCGGCTTCAGAAGAGGACTGTGAGGGTACAAGAATGATGTATCACCAGAGGGGAAGAAGGGCGTCCTTGGAAATCGCTTCAGTCTTGTATACAAATGCAGTGCAAGTAAGAGGAACTTGTGAATACAAGTGCTGCTGCTAAGAACAGCACGCCCAAAAGCAACCTAAGAGAGCAAGAGTTTTGGTACTACTGGGGTCAAAAAGCGAGGTACTCCCTTGGCTCAAGGCCCTTTGGTCCACCACCCCTTCTCATCTGTCCGTCCTGCCCTTATTTATTCTCCACTATGCCTTTCACCTGAAGCCAATAGCCGGCACCTTGTTTTTCTGCCTTCAGCACCTGAGAAGGGTTTTGCATTTTGAAAGCTCCCACAGCGCCTTTGAAATCCTGCAGGATTTACGAAGGCAGTAGGGAAGCTTTGTGGTGTTGAGGCGTGACTGAGTCTGTGTCATATGCAGAAGGAGCGCTGAAAAGGCAGGGCTGGAGCCACAGGTGCCATGAGAAACTCTCTCAAAAGATTAGGATGAAATTTCTGTTCCAAAAGTGGGCAAGTTTAAACCTGAGCAATTCTTGTGAAACTCTTGAGACATAAGTAATGAGGCATGCTTCGTTTTTCTGTATTGTCTATAGCTACATATATTTTTAATGTTTTAAGAATAAGGTACCAAAAGAAGAGAAAGAACAGTTCCACAACTGCAGAGATAACATAAATTACCTGTGTTTGGACTTCTGCTTTTTGTTACTTTAAATTAGTTTATCTTAATTAAGAGACCTGCTTCCAGGGATGCTTCAGCAGTAAGTATATGACATCTTGAGAGGCTTCAGTGAAGGACCACATTGACTTTCTTTCCTTAGGAGCAGGTCTTCAAGTTGCTGTCCTTACTTCAGAGCACTAGCTGTTTCATGCCCACATTCCTATCTTACCTTACGTTCTCAGCCACTGCTGTCAGTCTGTCTAAGCTTATTTCCCTTTATTTCTTTCTCTTGCTTCTGGCTTTGAGGCATCTTTCACAATGCCATAACTACTCCAAGCAACCTCACAATAAAATCAAGCATCCCTCCCTTTTCCCATTTTGTATTGTATTTTACATACACAAATACTATATATAAATATTTATATTATTTCCTCATATTTATTATAATTTTCGTAGTAAGATGAAAGTATCAGCGTCCTCCTACTCTATAACCCACTGCAATGCAGCACAGAGTTTATAGCACAGAGCTTTACCCTTCAGCCGGTTAGTTATATTGCAGTTCTCTGTTCTGCACCCGGGAGTAGGGGCAATAAATTGAGAGGGACGGTGCAGGGTTTTTCTCTGAATCTCAGTAAGAAAGGCCTGACAACAAATGGCTTAATAAAATTACTGTTTTAAAAAGACAGAATAGAGATGAGTAATACAGATAGTGAGTAAATCTTATGTCCCTTCAGATGCTGTGAACCCCACGTTCCTGCAGCATTGGGCTGACCCCGGACGGACTTCTCCCACGGCAGGCTGCGCAGATCCCACCTGTGGAGGGAAGCTCCTCCTTGGTCATTCAAGCTATTTTAATTTTCTTACAAGAAACAGCTATCAATAAAGGATGTTCACATGAGAACTTCTTGCTGCACTTCTAGATAAAGGCAAGGTCACACAGGTGGTGGAACCGCCTGCACCAAGCGGGAGCTGCCCACAGGCTCCTCCGTGACAAGGAGCTGGTGGAGTTTATCCTGCAGCCAAGGGATTTGTGCGCCACATCACAGGCCTGAAGGCAGCGCACCACAGACCTGCGCCTGCTTGGGTTAACTGTACTGTGGATCACTGACTCGTGGATGTACAGTGGTCTCCTGCTCAGGATCGCTACACTCCCCCTGCTTCCAGCGTCTTCAAGGAGTGTCTATTTTTCACCGATGTTTTGCCTCCTTGTACATCCCAAAGTAATAACAGTGTGTTTTGGACATTGAAGTGTGGAAATAAGAAAAACAGTGTTGCTGATATCAAGGGTTCTTTCTGTTCTAAGCGTGTCTTTAATCTTCTTTTTCATGTGTCTCCTTTTTCAGATAGCTTGCTGAAATTAGTGATGCAGAAAGCATGAAGCGCTTCCCATGTTAGGGCTGAATGCACTGGCAAACAGCCTTGTGCAGAACTCACTGAACTGTTTCGTCACTGATTTTCACAGCATAGTATATTTTACATCATCTTGTATTCTGGGATGGGGCGATGGGGCAACCTGACTGCAGAATTCAAAGCTGTAAGGCCATAACGCTGCCTGAGGAGAAACTTATTTAGGGAGGGAGCTTCTGCTGGGTGTTAGTGCATAATAAACTAGTTGAATTCATTGCTGCAGGCAACCAAACCCTATGGCTAGAAGTATTTCAGCTGGAAATTTTGAAATAATACCACTCTTCACTGCCATTACTTGAAAAAAAATAACTGCACTATTGTGGTTGGTGTCATCATTAGCACCTATACAAGCCAAGATGCTGATCATTTCTCATTTTGCAAGGTACCATTAGCAGCTGAGAGAAGACAAGCAGCGCCTCCCTACACCCCTTTCTGCCTCTGCACAGTTGAGCTAGGTTGCTAGTGGTTTATCCAGGGCTGAACTAAAGAAGACCTTTTGGAAAACATTTCAAACTTGGAAAGGGACAAGAATTACTGGGCATTTATATTGCTACCCACCATGAAACATCACAATTTTATTTATGACACAACAACTCTGACACTTTTTGTTTTCTTCCTCTTCAGACTAGAGCATACTGGTCAAATTTGAGATATACCACTTAGCAAGGCAGTGTACACACGGAAATGCTTAGTGAAGTAATAAATTATACATGGCAGGTTACATGTATATTTTCACGCAGTAGAATGTTTAATGACTGAATGTTCGTTAATTGACCAAGTCATTGGACAGAAATTAACAAATTGTTCCCTAATAGCTTGCATGCAGCCCTGGTGCACTGCTTGAGAAAGTCATTCCTCAACTCTGTCTGGAAAGCAGTACAGCAAGCACAGGGCCTTGCCATGTTTCCATACTGATTTTACTTACTAGGCTGGCAGAAAGACAGGCACAGGAGAATTAACTAATGTGCTGACACTCTCAGACGTGATTCCTGTGGATCTTCTCCCTGGATTACTAAGAGCAACTTCCAGTGAGTGATGAAAGCAAATTTTCATGTTGTTCTGAACTGCCTGCAATAGAAATTTTCACAGATGTGAGTCTGTTGCTGATATTTATTTCATACTTTGCAGGAAATAACCATGTAATGCGGTTAATTTGTAGATTGTGTAAACTAGATTAACTGCTGAGATTAGGAATGCTTTTTGCTGCTCAAAGCAGCGCTGAAGCAAGCTCTGGCAGTTTCTGGAGGTATCCTGCAGCAGAAAAAAAAAATCATAGACTAGAGAAGAGTTCATTTTAACATGCCCTTTTTTATCTGAATGCAGGTATAGCAGGAGAAAATGTGAGAATTCACTGATCCTCTTCTTCCAGGAGGCTCCTAAAACCTGCTAGCCGTTACTACTTCATAGAAAAGCTTTCGGATTTCTCTAGCTCTACAGAAGACAACTGTACACTGCTATAGCCAGCACACAACTGGGTTGTGGCTAAAAGAGAAGAAACGTTCTTAACAAAGGTGTAAGTCAGCTGTACATATACTTCTCC